CCCCCAAAACCCCAAAACCCCGTAAAGATAGAATAGTATCAAATTATGAATAACAGATTTTAAAATAAATGTTTTAGCCAAAAGCATTAATAGTTGTTGATCATTAATCAAATACATCTCCTTCTCACACATTTTGACTATCATCTTCATGAAGAATAAGACTTCTATGCTTTTATGGTTATGAAATTGAATTATCTAGAGAAATTAGGTTTTAGTTAATCTCATTCAATATGTTACTCTTGACAATAGACTAGCTACCACCTCCATCAATATTCAGTCTATGATTCTCACCAAATTCAAAGCCATCATCATCCTCTTCTCTATCTTTTTAATTTTCTCTCGCTGAGTAACCGTGTCTCTCTGCTAAAATTGAAGCATTAGCTACATTATCTTTATTCTTCACAGACAATTTCAACGATTCAAAGAAGTCTTGCTTATCTCCATAAATATGAGCATTGCTCTTATTGATATCTTCTATCAAAACTTTAACTTCATCTTCTCTTAGCAATATCTTATTTTGAGGAACCTCACATATAGAACCATCTTAGTCCTTCACAAACATTCTATTTCTTTTCAAAGCGCTGTTTTCTATATATACAATTAAAAAGGATTTATTACCGTATTTATAAATATGAATGTATTAAATGTCTTTCTATTGCCCCCTTTTGTCTACAATACTTTGGCTGCTAGATTTGATAACAAAATTTCTCTTTTTAGCTCTCTTAATTACCCATTTAAGATATGTAAGGGAAACTTCATTATCATGCGGTATGAAGAAAGCCTTTATAGAACCTGAAAGTCTCTTATAGAGATCTAAAATTCTGCCATTCATGTGAACAAATATCATATAGTTGTAAAATATTAAGCCATTAATCACTGTAAAAGCAAATATTGCGAAAACAGTTAAGTAAATTCCAACTAGGCCGTTTCCTTACTTTTTGTAATAATAATTATAAAGCTTGAAATAGTCACCTACATCCCATCCCTCACTTGCTATATCAATTACTAAAGTAACATATGGATCAAATAAGGTCCAAATTCCATACCAGCAGATAACCTTATAAAACATTCTCGGGAAGCAATTAAGGCAACTTCTTTTACAGAAAAATGCAATAAGAGTAAATAATGACATTAACAATGAATTTGAAAGAATTCCAAAAACTACAACCATTAGCTCCTATATGAATGTCCACTGAGCATAAGTAATGTAAATCTTATACCAATGAGGATCAAACCCAGTGACAGGCACACCCATGAGTAATAATATAATGTACTAACCGACATAATGAGTCCACATTCTTAGGAAGAATAGAAAGAACATATAAATGATAGCCAAATGAAACTCAATATTTTTTAGTTTTTTAACACCAAAGTCCTCAGTTAATTCATCCCAGATATATAGCATTTTTTTAAATGTTAATTTTCTAGTCTTTAAATCTAGTTTTTAACTCACAGAAAAATGAAATTGATCATACTAAATTTCATCATCATCTTTTCTTCTATCTATCATAATCTCATGAGACACTGTAGAGTAATATGACTCCTTTGATTTAGACTAGTTCAAATTTTTTGATTCTTCATGTTCATGGTTGTTTGACTAATCTTCAATTGACTGACTTTTGTTAGATTAGCTTTTCTTATCTTCTACTTCTTAGTCTTCTACTGATATTTACGAATTAGAATTTGAAGCTAAATTGAGTTACTTATTCTTAAGTTTTTGATAGTTTAACAGTGAATCATTCTCATCTTGTTCGATTTCTTTGAAAGTTTATTTTTTGAAGAATTTCTATTGCTTTCCTACTTTGTATTCAAGCATTTGAGAATTTTCACCGATTTCATCAATATGAGGATTTATATGAGTGTGAGTGTCTGAAATAAGGCTATCATTATTTTTCAATCTATAGGGCTCATAATGATATAAATCGCTTGTTTCTGGATGAATTTTGATTTCTGAGAGCTTTATTCTATCAATCTCTATGTATAGATTACAGAGCCAATTATCTAAATCTTTCTTGAAAGATTCCTCTATTTTCCCAAACTTATCATAAGCAATATTTACCTGACCAAATAGCATCGGTAACTTAAATTATCCTTCATTCAGCATGAATTCTGAATTAACTAATGGAAATACTCCCCATCCGACAACATAATCTTTAGGAACTGTTTCTGATGCAAGTAAAATCAATTCAAATTGTAAAATGTTTGATGGTTAAATATTTGGTGGCACCAATATGTTAAGATGATCGTCAATCAAAAGTTCATTATCAAAATATCTACCGTCAAATCTTATATACTTAGTCTAGTTTCTTGAAAATTCTAATTTGACATCAGTGTTGGGGTTAATTGACTGATCCATAATTTCATTTTATTTAGCTTCTGCTTTTTTACGTTTTTCATCTTCATCATCTTATTAGACTTTGTTGTAACCTCCAAAACCTCCAGCTTTAAACCAATTCATGCCAGTCTTGGGGGCAGCTACTACTACTTTCTAGCCATCGGCTAGCTTTTATTCCATTTCTCTATGCTCTTTATTGATAAAGGTTCGCTTTTTAAGGTTGAAATCTCTAATGCTTCTACTTAAATCTCTCAAGCTATCTATGCACTCACCAAGGTTGTAAGTTATTTTCTATCCACCAATTCTATCAAGTACAGAGCACATCATGATAAAATGGCCACTGCCTACTTTATCTTTTAAGTTTTTGCATGATACAACTTTGACTTAAATTGGTTGAGGTGTATTATCTCTGACCTTAAGTAATTGATTTAGCTTTTCCGCACCATCTTTGTTATGTTTTGAATTAATATGAAATAGTGGGAGTTCATCTTTCTTAGATTATAATACGATAGGTCCGTAAGCTTAGAGAATTAGATCTCTTTGAATCTTAATATTTTTAATGAGAGCATTAACTGTTTGGCCAAAATTAAGCCTTAGAATTTTTTCCTTTCTTTGAAATTCTTTTTAGCTGTTAAGATCTTTTTATTCTAATATCTTAATAATTGCTCCAGTTTTGTCGTCTATTTTCTAAGAGGTAATATCTGTTGTCTTTTAAATTTCTTTCTCTTTTCTCTTTTTCAGCTTCTTCTGGTTCTTATAAAACTACTTTTCCTCTTTGTGAATCTTTTTCTTCTACTTTTTCAACTCATCCACATCAACTTCAAATATTGAGATAGTATTATCTTGAAGAAGATTCGACTGCTAATCATCACCTATTTAGGTTATTTAATCATTGGCTGAATATCTATCTCTTAAGCTGACTTCAGATCTGGGACCTGTATTTGGCCTTAAAAATGATTTCTGAGGTTCATTAAACAATCTCTCTACTCTTTCTGGATTATCGAATTCAAAATGATAGTCAAATTTAAAGGGTTGATAAACTGTATCATACTCATCTGTTTCTTTAATCATATTCAGCCCACCAGATAAGGAGCTAGTATCAGATTATAGCTTTCCATAACCATTTTTGTTCTGATACGAGAGCTTTTTTTTATAAGGTTGCTTAATTTCCTCTTCTATACTGTCAGATTATTCGTCATCTCTTAACAGTAGTGACTGAGACCCTTTTATTCTCTTTCCATCCTTGACTGGCATGGCTGAATAGACTCTCTTCGAGCCTTTTATTAATTTTTACTGAGCCTTTATAAGATCTTTTGATGTAAATTCTTGATTTTCTTCATCATTTTCCTCCTCATCTTCATCAGAAATATGCATTTTTGCCACATTCGACACTTTCTTAGTATCCTCAAGGTTCATCAAGCTACGCCTGTTCTCAATACTTTTCATTGATAAATTCTCTTAATCTTCTTGTATTAATGGTTGCTTATCTCTATGTGAAGAAAATGACATGTTATTGTTGGTTATGGTGTGATTGTCTTCCTCTTCATTTGTATGCAATCTCTAAGGTGAGTATTCCATTTACTTTTGTTGATAATTTTATTTTTAAATGACACTGCTTGAATTTGTTATTTATAGAAATCAATTCAATTTAATATGGAAAAAGCACTATGGGGTTTTGGGGTTTTGGGGTTTTGGGGTTTTGGGG